AACCCTATGCGGGGTTGTTACGAGTCAGAATCGACTTGGTGACACTTAACAAGAAGTGTGGAAAAACCCTCAGCAAATACCAGTAATGGCTTCCTGAAAAAAATACAGACTCAGACACAAAACCAAACAAAACACAAATTCATCCGTCTTCTAAATACCACAGAAAACAAGCAACTCTGTTTCTTTAGTACATACAATAATTCTTTGCAGACAACATTGGTCTAGATAAACATATTAATTTGCTAGATTGCAGCTAATGGAGGGATTTCATTCAGACCCTTCATCTAAAACTGAGCATAAAACTTTTTTTTTTTAAGTTTTTATTATGATTTGGGTGAAAGTTTGCAGAACAAATAGGTTTTCCATCTAACAATTCAAACACATTTTCTTTTGTGATGTTGACTGCAGTCCTCACAGTGTACAGCACTCTCCCCACCTCCTCCCCATGTTTGCCATGTCCATCTGTCCTTCTTTCTCCTCCCTTCCTGACTTCTAGCCTGGTTCCTGGGCAAATGCTGTTCTGATCTCACCTGGTTGCTGGTCCTAAGGACTGTATTTCCTGGTGTTGCTGTTCACCTCGTCCTACTTTGGACATATTGTCCGGAGGAAACAATCGCTGGAGAAGGATGTCATGCTGGGTAGGGTGGAGGGTCAGAGAAAAAGAGGAAGACCCCCAATGAGATGGATCAGCCAGGTGGCATCATTGATGGACTCAAGTGTGGCAGCGGTAGTGAGGTTGGCCCAGGATCGGACATTGTTTCGTTCTGCTGTTCCTGGGGTCGCTATGAGTCGGTTCCGACTCATGACACCTGACAACAACAACAACAACCCTGAGGGTGAGGTCTCCAGACCTCAAGGGTGTCAAAGGTTCAAAGTCTTTGTTGTTGCTGTTCTTAGATGCTGATGAGTTGGTACCGACTCATAGCAACCTTATACACACCACAACGTAACACTGCCCAGTCCTGCGCCAACCTCACAATCGTGGCTACACTTAAGCTCATTGTTGTTGTCATTGTGCAAATCCATCTCATTGGGGGAGGAAGGGGTCTTTCTCTTTTTCTCTGACCTCCCACTTTACAAAGCATGATGTCCTTCTCCAGTGACTGGTCCCTCCTGATAATATGGCCAAAGTATGAGAGACCAAGTCTGGCCACCCTGATGAATTGATGATAATTACTTGTGATTGGAATGTAAAGGTTGGAAACAAAGAGGGGAGTGCAGTCATTGGAAAATATAGCCTTGGTGATAGAAATAATGCTGGAGATCGCATGATAGAATTTTGCAAGACCAATGACTTGTTCATTGGAAATAAATACCAAAAAAAATCACACTCTTAGGGTTCCATACATCTCTATTAGAATGGTAAGCTGAGTGGTCTCTTATGATTTTGAGTTTTGGTCCCACGTTTTCTCCCACTGTATCTAGGACCTCCTCTTGTGATCCCTTCTAGATCAGTCAGCAGTGGTGGCTGGGTACCATCTAGTTCTTCTGGTCTCAGAATCATGGAAGCTGGGGTTCACGTGGATGGACCATGAATCCTTTGGAACAATTATTTCCTTGCCTTTTTTATTTTCTTCACTCTTGTTTGCCCTGGATGGGGAGAGACCACTAGTTGCTCCTTAGGTAACTGCTCCCAAGCTTTGAAGACCCCAGCCACTACTCTCCAAAGAAGATATAGAATATCGTCTTTGTGGACTATGTTATGCCAATAGTGGTTATGAATTGGGCAGCAAACCGCAAGGTCAGCAGTTTGAAACTACCAGCTGTTCCGCGAGAGACAGATGAGGCTGTCTGCTCCCATAAAGGTTTACAGCCTTGGAAACCCTGTACAGGGTCTGAACCGACTCCACGGCACATAACAACAACAAAAACCCTAAGACTGGAGTCCTGGTGTGGCGCTGTGAGTTAATGCGCTAGACTGCAAAGCTGTTTGAACTGCAAGGTCGGCAGTTCAAGCTCACCAGCTGCTCCTCAGAAACCCTATACAGGGTCGCTATGGATCAGAACTGACTCAACGGCACTTCAAAACAACAACCACCCTAAGAATGTGATCCTGAGCCCTGAAACTCAGCAGCTCATGCCATCAAGCTGTTTAGCTATGACTAAGAATTTTTTATAACTTTGTCTCCTGTATGTTCGACTGTATTTATGTATATATTTGCAGCAGTATAAATATTTATGTAGAAATAACCTGTCACGCCTATATGTATATCCAGGGGGAGGAACTAAGACTAGATAGATATACTACTCAGACCCTCTACAACAGAGACAAGGAAGACAAAGCGAAATACACGCATAGGATAATCCTGGAGCCTGGCGCTTCGGAGAAAATGTTGGCAAAGTGGACTGAATACTTACTGGGAGGAGAGGTTGGGTAGGGGCATTGAAGGAGAGACACACTGGTGAATGGTCTTCGTCAGCTGAGGCGGGCCATTTTAAACAGCACAAAATATATTCTTTTCCAGTGCACATGGAACATTCTCCAGAAAAGACCATATGGTAGGCCACAAATAAAGCCTCAATACATTTTAAAACATCAAAATACTACAAACTATCTTTTCAGATAACAGTGCTATCAAAAATTAGAAATAAACAACAGGAAGGTCAAGTGGAGCCGCTCTGAAGGATCGCCATGCCACATGGGTTCTAACAAAGGAAGGACTTTCATTGTACTGCCACGTGGCTCAGCAGATACTTATTCAGAGACTGAGCCCCGTTTACAGGAAGGACCCTTGCCTACATAGTGTTTGGGTCTTTGGGGCGTTACAAAGTGAGGGAAGGGAGGTGTGTAAGGCTGACATTTGCTACTTCGTACAGTGGGGAAGGAGCAAGCAAGCCGATGGGGAGTTTACAGACGTAGAAGCAAGTAAGTTTTAATTAGGGGTTTTGTTATCTTCTCAGAGACAAGTCTGTACCAGGAAAAGTTTAGCTGGGATAATCACGTGGGGCTGAGGTGGTCTGTGGCTTAGTTCCCGGAATGTGGACCCTATCCTTGGAATGAGAGATGCCCTCTGGGGGGAAGGGTGGGTGCTCTGTGACTGTTCCCACCAGCCTGTCTGCCTCAGTTGTATATCTCTGAATATACTAAAAATCTCTCAACTGTATGTGGATTGTATGTTGGTGATGGTGGTGGCTGTATGCCGAGTCGGTTCTGACTCACAAGGACCCTATATGGTGTTTCCAAGGCTGTAAGTCTTTATGGGAGCAGAAAGCCTCATCTTTTCCCCTGGAGAGGCTGCTGGATTCGAACTGCTGACCTTGCAGTTAGCAGTCTAACATGTAACCCACTACGCCACCAGGGCTCCTTGAATTGTATGATTGTTGTTAAGTATCATCAAGTTGGTTCCAACTCAGTGACCTTGTGTAGGGTTTCCGAGGAACGGCTCGTGGGTTTGAACTGCCAACCTTCCAGTTTAAACTGTCTTTGCTGTCCTGCAGCACCACACCAGGCCTCTGGTAGTTGGATTGTTTTGGTAAAGCAGTTTGAACACCATGACAGGAAAAGACCCCTGGGTAGTGGCAGATGTCAGAGACAGACGTTTTGTCAGGGGCCTGGATGGAGAAAGATCAGAACAGACCAGCATCTTGAAGGTGTATCTGTAACAAGGGTTACAAATACAACACCCCGAGACAGGCGCTCCAAGTGGCGACTCATATCCCAAACTCAGCGCCTTAACGCCTGCCTGGGGGAGCCCAGTAGTTCTCCTCTGACCCACAGGGGCCACCATGGTCCCACTGGACTTGTGCTAATGGAGCCACCTAGTGAACTTTGTCCCTTGTCCCTCCTCTCCCCCCACTCAAAACAAATCTTGAGTGACAGTGTACTTTAACAAAGCCTTCAAATAAAGACACTACAATGACCCCACAGACACTGGTTTGGTTTTAGGATCCCTGCTCTGCTCAGGAAGTTGCTAGCAATGGCCAGCAGGGACATTGTCCTACCTCTGTACAGCGAGCTGCTTCTTCAGGTGCATGGAGTACACTCCTCGACCACCCCACCCTCCAGGGACAAGTATTGTTGCTAAGTATCGTCACGTCGGTTCTGACTCATAGTGACCCTGTATAGGGTTTCTGAGGAGTGGCTGGTGGATTTGAACCTCTGATCTTGAGGCTAGCAGTCCAGTGCTTATCTTACAGTGCCATGCCAGGGCTCAGGTGACGATGAGACACACTAAAAAAACCTACTAAATGCACAATGTATTTCACAGGCGAGAGTTTCTGTGAAGAGGCCGCCTAAATCATGACACAAACATAAAACAGAATACCAGGTAGACATGAAATTTAACGTACTCTAAATTTATTATCACAATAAATATTCACAGCCATGACCGCCAGGAACGGAGGTTACAGAGCACCAGGAGTGGAATGATCCATCCACGTACAACCACATACATCCACGTATATCGAGTGCCGAGGGGGTCTGGAATGATCACCAAATGGATGAGACGGGCACGTGGTTTTTAATTTTTAAGTGTTTATGATTTTTCAAAAACACCGAAGCTATGACTTTTTCCATTTAAAAACACAAAGGACAACACTGTTTTGAAACAGACTCGGAAATTGTTTGGCACACATTGGTTTTCTCCTAACAATAACACAGATGTTGTCGTTGCCATCAAGACCAGACCGAGACCCTCAGCACAAGCTCTCCTTAGCCCCCAACCGAGAACTCAGAAGCTGGGAAGATGGAATAGACCCAAGGATGGCATCCTAGGTCAGCCTGGGAATCTCCGCCCCACCAAGTTCTCTCCCACCAAGTTCTCTCCCGCTACTCTAGAAAGCTCTCTTCAGACACCCTTGGGCAGAGGGGAGCGCCCGGGAAGGGAACTGTTCAATCATCCCACATGAAGCTGGGGTTCCCAGCTGGGACCACCATGTGGGGTTCCTCCTCCAGTCTGGGGTCCCCAATTCAGCTTTCCTTAGGACGGTACATGAATGAGCATCATCAACATCACAGCGACAGGATCCTTCAGGGAGACGCCTGGAATTCGCAGGCCCAGCTAAGGTTTCAACAGCGCCACCTTGTGCTCTGGCACCGAGTCTTCACTGATGTTGTAGGGCTGGGTCCCGGGTTCCTGCCTCAGGGACTGCTCTGGAGGAGACACAAGTGGGCCACAACACTGGCTACCGCGGGGGTGGAAGGTGGCTGGGGAGGGCAGGAGGGAACTTTCTGGAGTGAGGGAGACATCCCATGTCTTGACCGGTGGAAGCATGGGGCATCCACGTGTTGAATAAGTATACAGAAAGTGAGTGATTTTACCTGAATCGCAGACACTCACGTGTACACGTGAACATACATTCAGCATTCACAGGTCCTCGGCCTCACACCCCGGGGTTCCTCCCTCCCTCCTTCCCCATGGGTGATGGAGGACCAGGGCCCACAGTGCACAGGCTGCTCCATTCCCTTGAAGCCGCGCATGACCAGGACTCCAGCATCCAGCCTTCCTCTCCTGGAGACCCCCGCCCCCAGACTTCTGCCTGCTACGGGACCCAGCGGGCTCCCTGTTCTGATAACACCAACCTGCTTCCTCAATAGTGGGGAAATACTGGAAGCCCTTCAGGTCGGCAGCCAGCAGGACACGCAGCACAGGGACCTGAGGGACAGACACATACGAGTTCCAGGCAGCAGTCACTTCTGCTCTGACACCCCAAGGACAGGAGGTCTGGCTTAGACCCATAGTCCCTCCCAACCCATGAGGGAGAGGTGCCACCCAGCACCTCACACACGTGTCTGAGCATGTCCTGGTGAGGGGCACATTCATCCCCAAGACACGGAGTCTCCACGTGTCCACTGAGGGTCACGTCCCCACGTCACAGGGGGTCTCCACGTATCCACTGAGGGTCACGTCCCCACATCACACGGGGTCTCCACGTGTCCACTGAGGGTCACGTCCCCACGTCACACGGGGTCTCCACATGTCCACTGAGGGTCACGTCCCTACGTCACACAGGGCATGTTGCCACATGCCCCACTGAGGGGCAGGTGCTGCAACTGACCATCATGACCACCTGGGAGGGGCCACCATGGAGATTATGGGATGGGGAACTCCTGAATGTGCCTCAGCCCACCTCTTTGAGAAGCACAGGCTTCTTCACAGCCCACCAGCACCCAGCCCATACCTGCAGGCCAACGAAGGCCAGGGCCACGCCCCGACGCCGGAAGTCCTCCATCAGCTCACCCAGCCCCAGGACCACAGTGTAGTCGACGCTGCAGATGTGGGTGCAGTCCAGGACCACGCTCCTTGGGGGAGACACTATGGGGACAGCCACAGGTCAGTGTGGATAAGGTAGAGTGTGGAAGGGAGGCAGTGGGACCCCAGCTCCCCCAGAGGGAACAAAGCGGGCCACAGTGAACCACCGCCCTGGTGCAAGCCAACGTTGACAGGCAAGCGGCCCAGTGAGGGTCAGGAGCATGGGGCACAGAAGGGATGAGCCCACCCTCTGTTCCGTTTCTCGAACCTTCCAAAGCCCGGCTGAGCAGGTCCTCCCGAAGGGCCTCAATTGCAGGGAAGTGTAGGCCGCTGGCTGGCTGTATGATGAGGACCAGCCCCTCGGACACCTGGAGACAGGGGGCAGTCATCAGGGCGTGGGGCCAGCTGGTGGGGGTAACACAGTGCAACAGCAGGCCACCATGAGGTTTGAGGAGGTGCGTCCACCTGATCCAACAGGCGGACAGCGGGAAAGCGCTGGGCTTGCCAGTAGGGGTGACTTCAGGATGAAGGGGCCAGTTTGGGCCCTCCTCTCCACCTCTGGCAGGAACCCACCTCCTCCCCAACTCCCAGCAGCCTGGGTCACGGCCGGTACCTGGGTCCTGGGTCTGGCCACAGAATGCAAGAGGATGAGCAGGGATACCAGGGTCCCGGCCAAGATGCCATACTGCACCTCCCAGAAACAGAGCAGGAAAGTCACACAGAGGGGCAACAGGTCCAGCCCTGGTGAGGGGAAGGGAGACCAGCTGAGCAGGGCCATCCCTCAGGGAGTCCAGCACCCCGGCTGGCACCCTGGAGCTCCCCATGATCAAAGAAGGTCCTGATCAGAAGGTGGGTGGGGTGCCACTCTGGGGGCTGCAGTTACTGACAAAGCAGGAACCAGGGATGTGGGCACCTGCCTGTATGTAAAAACATCAAAGTTGGGAGACAAGACCCTTCCCATCCCAGGTGAGGAGCAGTAAAGGCCTGAGCCCTCTGTGAGTCTAGGGGAGAGGCAAGCCATGCAGTCCCTCAGACCTTGGGGACCCCTCCTAGGACAAAAGGACAGCACCAAATTTCAGCCTGACACACAATAACACACACAAATCCCTCCTCTTCCTGAGCCTCAGTTTTAAGTACAATGGGTACTTCATATCTATTTAAGGGCAGATTTAAAGATAAATCTAATAATGTACAAGAAAGCCCAAGCGTGCAAAGACCTTGGGTAAAACAGTTGCCTCATTTGGTAGTGAGGGGGTTGGGTGGACAGGAGGGAAACCACAAACCCTTTAATCTCTTTGACAAACAAGAGAAAACAAAAACACAGAAGGAGCTGCGGCTCAGGCACTGAGTGTCCTGTGCTCACAGGGTTTGCTGGACTGTTGTCCCCCAGAGTCCCCCTGCCCTCCATCGAAGCTGGCTTCAGTGGCCAAGCCCAGATGGCCAAGAAGAGGATGTGCAGCAAAGGCAGGAGACTCATGTGGGGTGACCCCTCAGGAACACTGGGGCTAGATGGGGGTTGCACTCAGGGGTGGGGAGCTGGAGGAAACGCTCTGCCCCGGCAGCCCTGGCCCATCAACCACAGTGACATTCCCCAGCCTTCAGAGTCCCACATGTGCCTGGTCACTTTGTTCTGGGTGACAAGATATGGGGGGTGCAATATAAACCCTAGTGCATATGGACTTGTTTCCCTTGGTGTGTGCTGACCTGTCCCCACAGAGACAAGGTGAAATCGTAGTCCCCAGTACCTGGGAATGGGAGCGGATTTGGAGAGGGAAATCGGTGTCCGTGAGGTCAGGCTGGATTAGGGTGAGCTCTGTTGTCTTTCTAAGACAGGGGTGGGGAACCTTTTGTCTGCCAAAATTTGTAACATCATTCATTGGCCACACAAATGACGAACTTAAAAATCAGCCTATAATTGGTCACTTACTGGTCTCGCCTGATGGACATCTGGGACTGTGGTTGCCTTGGCAAGGCATTATCAAATAAATGATTTTGTGGGCCTGATGTGACCCAAGGGCCGGATGTCCCCCACTCAGTTCTGAGGTGAGGGGGATGCGAACACAGATGTGCACAGGAAGGTCACATGACGGTGGAATCAGAGATTAGAGCCGCACGTCTGTCTACAAACCACCCACTACCCACCGCCAGAAACTGCAAGCTGCAAAGACAGATCCTCCCTGGAGCCTTGGGTGGATTGAAACTGCCCACACCCTAAATTCAGACTCCCGGCCTCCAGACTGTGAGACTACCAACATCCCCAATTTGTGGTACCCCATTACGGCCGCCTCAGGAAACTGGACTCACACACCCTGGACACCCAACACAGGCCGGCGCCACAGGAAATACATACTCTTGACCCGCCAGAGTGTTGTGAAGATCTTGGTGTCAAACAGGGGGGTCACAGCCATGATGATGACAGCAGCCAGGGCAGACTTGGGGATGTAGTAGAAGAGCGAAGTCAGGTAGTCCAGAGACAAGAGCACCAGCACACCTGTGGGGGAGGGACGGGGGGGCGCCGTGGGGACCCCCAGCCAGTCTACAGGACGGCGTCTGCCGTGGGGACCCCCAGCCAGTATACAGGATGGCGTAGGGCTGCTGCCCCCACCAAGGGCTTCTGAGACTGTGTTCTTTACAGAACCAGACTGCGGCAGGCCTTCCAGTGTGCAGAATTTGCCCATCGAGATTCTCTTTAAAACGTTGTCAAATACAGCTAGAAAAGCCCACTACCACTGAGTCCAAGGAGCTCTGGGAGTAGTGGTTACAAATCGGGCTGTTAACTTCAGGGTCAGCAGTTCGAAACTACCAGCAGTTCCGCGGGAGAAAGATGAGGCTTTCTGTTCCCATAAAGATTTACAGCCTTGGAAATCCTTGCCCCTCCATACACAGAGTAGACAGGGAGGGGAAATTGGACATTGGCTACCCAAAATGGGGGGGGCTACAGAGGTAGGAGCTCTGATAGTGTAGTGGTTACGAATTGGGCTGCGAAGCTTAAGGTCAGCGGTTCGAAACTACCAGCCGCTCCACGGGAGAAATATGAGGCTTTCTACTCCCGTAAAGATTTACACCCTCGGAAACCCTGTACAGGGTCGCTATGGGTCGGAACCGACTTGACGGCACTTAACAACAACAACAACAGAGGCAAGAAGTGACTGGCTTACAAGCTTTCAAGAGGGAGCCTTGATCCAGAGGGCCTGGAGGAAGGTAGAATCTCCACTGAGTAGTATCCAATCTGTCTAGGTGGGCTGATGAAATGAAATGCGGATAGGTCTCTTGTGATACAATAGTGAATAAATGTTATCAGGACTGATTGTGAGGGTTGGAAACGTAAAGGTAGACATTTTATAGCAAGGAGGGGAGTGATTAACTTGGTCTCCCTGGGACCATGAAGGGAGAAGAGCGGAGAGCGGGACCCTACCCAGAGAAGCAGTGATGCCTGAGATGGAGGCAGAGAAGATGACGTGGAGCGATGGAGCAGCTGGGGACGTTAGACCCAGAGAGGGAGAGGGGCTATGTGCTGAGACCAGGGGGCAGACTTGTAGTGTATACCCTTTGATTGGTTGATGATGCATGGAGAGAATTGTAACCATGGCAATGAAACGATATACGATAGGATGAATGTAAAACTAATGCTCTCCCATGTAAACTATCACATAATTCACAATAAGACATTAAAAAAAAAAAAAAAAGATTTACAGCCTCGGAAACCTGTGTAGGGTCACCATGGGTCGGAACCAACTCAATGGCACTTAACAACCACCACCATTGAGTCAATTCTGACGCACAACGAACTTGTCCAGGGTTTCAGAAACTGTGAACTGCACGGGGACTACATTTAACCCACTGCGCCACCAGGGCTCCTCAAGCTACATCATCAAAAGCCTTCAACGCACCGTTACCTCCTCTGCTCCGACTCACAACAGCCCTAGAGGACAGAGGAGAAGCCAAGGCTGTCATCTTTAAGGAAGCAGACTGCCTCAGCTTTCTCCCATGGAGTGACCGGCTGCTGGGCGTGAACCACCAACCTTTCTGTTCACAGTCCAGCACTTAACCCGCTGTGCCACAGGGCTCCTTCACTCAGGCAAACCCCCCACTGTCACTGAGCTGACTCCAGCTCCTAGGGAGCCTGAATAGGGTTTCTGAGATATATTCTTTATGGGAGCTGGTGGGTTTGAACCACAAACCTTGTAGTTAGCAGTCCAGTGCTTACCCTACCAATGCCTCACTCAGGCCCTGCACATCTGTGTGTGAGCCCCCCATCTAGGAGGGAAGAGGCAGGCTCACCCCTGCAGCTCCTTGTGTGATCCAGCGGCTCAGCTGGACACACAGTGTGGGGTGGGCTGGATGGACCTCTAGCTGTGGTGTTGCCTCCCTTCCCTTTCACCCACTCTGACTGGGGGAGGGGGCAGAGGAAGACACAAAGGGGACTTACCTGTCACCAGCCCCCCTGCGGGGGTGCACACACCTGACTGGGCATTCACAGCGGTCCTACAAGGGAAGCCCAAGTGTCAGCCTGGTCAGCAGGCCTCAGGAAAGACACCCACCCAAAGTGGTCCCGGGCGGGTGTCCTAACAGGTCAGGCCGCATGGCTGTCCTCCATGCTGGACCTCAGGTGATCTGGGTACGACACCTCCACCTACTGGGACTCTACAGCAGTAAAGGTAGCACTCAAGCAGAGTGAGAACACAGGTGGATCAGAGCATGCCCCCAAGATAGCTGCCTTCGGGGTGTGGACATGACCACCACAGGGTGTGGACACAGGGCCGGGACATTCCCACGATGGAGGAAGCACTCACCGTCCAAAGCTGCCGGTGACTGGGTAGGAGGAGACGAGGGAGCCCAGCACGTTGGTGAGGCCTGGGGGTGGAGGGAGGGGGACACAAACAAGAGAGTGGAAAATTAGACTGGCAGGAGCCAACCCCAGCAAACTTATTCCAGGGTTCTTCCGAAGGAAGGAGCGGCATCAGCGAAAAGAATTACGGAGCCAATGGGTCTTCTTCTTACATGCTTTTATCATTCTCATTTCTATACTACTCTACTACCTCTCTCACGACCTTATAGACTATTACAGAGCAAAAAACATTGTCTTCACAGTAATCAATGACATCAAAGTACAATCTATTCTGGGGCACATTCCTCATGGCTTACAACTCTTAAATTTACAACAGGGATGGGAAGTTACAGCAAAGACATTATCTCAAGGCATAGGAGACATTCAGGCACCTTGAAACCTTTTGGTTAAACATTTGTTCCTACATAAATCTATTCTTTTCTCTGAGAAGCAAGTTAACCTTTACATATGTTCCTTGACCTTTGTTAGTCCAATCTTAAGTCATCAAGCCTAATTGTCAGGTGCAATTTACACTTCCTTAACTTCCTCCTACAGAAACATCCCTTCTCAGTGAAACTGAGGCTATGAAAACAATTCCCCTATTTTATTGCCTTAAACTAAGGCTACAAGGAAGAATGTTTACAATCACTAAACCTAAACTGGTAGTAATTCAATTGACAAATTCTGTCTCCTAATAGTCTTAAGAACATTGTTAATATAAGTATTAAAACTACCTATGATTACAAGTAGAATAAGATGTAGCTAATATATGGCTTCTAACTTTTAATAAAAATATAGTAAAGTGTAGGAGAGTCAAAATCTAAAGTAAAAGGGATACTAATAAAATCATGAATGAATCAGAGAATGATTCAACAGGAGAAAAATTAACTAGGGGTCTGTGCATAAAAAAAACAACACCTCTTTGTGTCTCTGCCATCCAAAGGGAAAAACAAAAAAAAGTCCACTGTTGCTTTGCAAAAACAATGCGCAGGTTTCCCCGTGTCTCATTTATTTATTTTAATTCCTCGATTAATAAGTCTCAATTTCTTCATTTTAATTCCTTAATTAAATTATGGCGCTTGCCAGCTGCCCACACTCTTCACCCTCCCTCCGTCTCTCTTTCTGTGCCTGTCTCTGTATCTCTGTGTCTCTCCAGGCAACCATGTCTCTGTCTCTGTCTGTCTCTATATCTCCATCACCTCTGTCCCCTCTATCTCAGAAAAAATAACAAATCCATGATCTCTGTCAAGTTCACAAGTGTCTGTGCCCCACCTCACACCCTCCCAGTTTATAAAACAAGAGAAGTATGTGTTCCCCACCCCAAAGGGATCCTGTCAAAGCAAGGGTGAATGAAGCAGACTGGAGGCTCAAGAATGGTGTCCCACCCCCCACCCCCTCCCATCCTAGTCACCATAAACCTCACACCAGAATCCACACAGCCCCACACATGGTCACCAGGTCCCTCATGAAGGACTCTACACGCCGCGTCATCCTGGTGTTTAGCTGGTATCCGCCAGGTAGATACTGAAAGCTGCTGAGTCCACTTCCTCGCCATGAATGGCTAGTTGGAAGTGCAGCTGCTGTCATACCCAGAGCTGGCTGCTCCCTGTTCAGAGGCTCGTACCCTTCCCTGGACTGGTCTGTCTGCCCTGTGTGAGCCCACAGCCCACTGTAGCCTCAGGATGTGGAATGTATCCCCGGTGTTGTCATGGGAATGAGACGTGACCGCAGCTCCACCATCACGAGCTCAGAAGGCAGCACCAGCCTGGTCGGCTGCGACCCATGGAGGGGCCCCACCACCTGTGCATCAAGAACCCACACTGCTGAGGGGGCGAAGTGTACACAGGAAGCCTGGGCTGAGCTGGGAGGGTGACATACACTTTTACAATTGTAATCAACAAGATGAAACAAAATGTAGCAAGGGTGGATGGAAACTGATTGGCTCTGTAACCATCATCAGACTCAGGAGCAAAAACTTAAAAAAAGAGATTCTAACCTCAGCCACTGCAGCTGTCTGTACAGGAGGGAGTCTGGCACTACTGCCCAGTGAGACCTGTGGCCTTTTTATCAGGCACACATAACTAAAAACTTAGGGATCATGACACACTAGATCAGAGATGTGAGATTCATCCAATCCAGGCAGCCACCTGTCCCGCCTCGCCCCGCCTCACCCCATTTCACCTGAGATGCTGTCTGGCTGCATTCTTAGCTTTCTGACCTGCCCGGGAGGTGGGGTGGGGTGGGGGCAGAGCACCCTCCCAGAGGCAGATGTTCCTGGGATACGGCAGGGTCTCTAACTGGAATACCAACACCACAAGTGGGTTCCCTGTTCCTAGACGCTGAGCGGAACTACATGGGGATCTGAGGGGAGCCCACGCTCCCACTTCTAAGGACCCAGCTCTGGGTCACCTCCACACCTGTCTCCTCGCCACCATCACACCCGTGTACCATGGGGAGCCCAAGCCCAAGCAGAGCACGAGACACATGTGGCTGGAGACTTACCAATGGCCACCAGCTCCTGGTTGGCGTCGATGCGGTAGTTATTTTGAGAAGCTGGAGAGAAGAGATAGGAAAACAGTTACAGGTTATAGAACATCAGTAAGAAAATATCCAGGAAATAAAAATCACATGCGCTAAAACCCTACATACAGCGTTACTGACGTTCTATAAATACAAGTGTATCAACACAAGAGGTGTCGTGGCGCTGTAGGAACACCACTGGACTGTAAACCCCAAGGTCAGCAGTGGAGACCCTATACAGGGTCACTATAAGATGGAGTCGATTTGATGGCACTTAACAACTTAACAACAAACACAAAGGGATGTCAGAAAGCTTGTGGGAAAGTGGAATTAAAAGATGAAGGAGAGTAAGAACAAGCAAGCTGTTCCCCTGGGAGCCATCAAGGCAAGCGGTCAGGTGCCCCCAAAACAAAACCCCTCCAAAAATAAAAACCAAAGGGAAAAAAAAAACAAGCAAGGGGGCCTGCCGCCGAACAACGTGGGCAACGAAAAAGGGAAAGAAGGAAAAAACAGCAATGAAGTTGTGAGCTAAGTCCACCACATTCAATAGACTCCTGGTAACCTGGATTGAGACCTTATTGGCCAGCAGTACAACAAGACCTGAGGACTCCGAGGCCCAGGGACAGGGACATGGCCACAGAGGACTAGAGTAGAGTGTGAAGTATCCAGCTGATGTGAAGTAAGGGGAGATGCACAAGAACACCCATACTTGCAGATAGTACCCACTTGACCTGGCTTCAATGGCTGAATGATCAGAACTCAACTAGAGAAAGAAAGAAGAAGAAATAAAATAAGCTGCTAACAATTTCATGAGCTTGACCTATGTTTGTTTGTAGATGCAGTAGGTCAAAGGAGGGAACAAATCTTTACAGCGAGGACCATTCCCACCCCCTTGGTAGGCAGGGCAGACAAGGATGAGCAACTTAGACATTGCCTAACCAAAAATGGGGGAGAGGGAACTACAAAGGCAAGAAGTGACTGGCTTACAAGCTTTCAAGAGGGAACCTAGTTCCAGAGGTTGTGGTAAGGTAGAATCTCTACTGAGTGGTTTCCAACCTGTTTGTAACGGGGCTGATGAAAGGAGATGGGGATAGCACTCTAATGGTTCAATAGTGAATAACAGCTATCAGGACTGACTGAGTGTTGGAAACATAAAGGTAGATGTTTTATAACATAAGGAGAAGAGTGGTTGATCTTGCAGTCCAGGAGTGGAGATGCCTGGGACCATCAAGGGAGAAAAGTGGAGTGTGGGACCCTATCCAATCCAAGAGAAGCAGTGATGCCTGAGATGGAGGCGGAGATGATGACGTGGAGAGATGGTGGAGCGGCTGGAGACTCTGGACTCAGGGAGGGAGAGGGGCTGTGTGCTGATGGCTGAGAGGTAGATTTGTGGGGTGTACCCTTTGGTTGTTTGATGATGCACGAAGGGGGCAGTGAAACGAAATACGATAGGATGAATGTAAAGCTAATGTTATCCCATGTAAACTATCACATAATTCATAATAAAAACTTAAAAAAAAAATAGAGAAAGAACAGAGGATCCTAGGCCATCCAGTGAGAAGATGTACAACACAATGGGGGAGTAGTTAATCTTACAGTCCAGGAACAGAGGACCCTAGGACCAACAAGGGAGAAGAGCATGAGCAGAATGTGGGACCCTATCCAGAGAAGCAGTGACACCAAAGATGGAGGCAGAGATGAGGACATGGAGAGGGAGCAGCTGAGGACTCCAGACTCATAGAAAGAGAAAGGCTGTGTGCTGGCGGCCAGGAGGCAGGCTTGCAGAATGTACCCTTTGGTTGTTTAAATGATTATATATTCCTGAGTGTTTTTGTGTATATCCAAAAAACAGGGAATAGAAGCAAATACTGTTGAAGGATGATGCACAGAGGGGACTGTAATCATTACAATGAAATGAAATACGATAGGATGAGTATAAAACCGATGTTCTCCCATGTAAATTACTACTCAATTCACAACAAAAAATGTAGAAAATTAAATAGTGGAGAAAATGGTGAGCAGGTACCGCTGAAGCATCAGACTGGTGGTTGGAAGGTTCTCGGAAATGGTCTCAGTCCGTGCGAGATGACACAGTGTGAGGATGGCGTTGTAAAATAAGCCACGACAAGGCTGCTGGTAACCTTTATCATGACGGGATGTTTCGCAGTAAGGGAATGCTGGACTGACCAGGAGGCAAAAGGCCCTGCCTAGGCAGTGGGGCACAGACCCAAGGAGCAAAAATGTTGCCTTGAACCTGAAGGAGGTTACCATTCCAGAAAGAAAAGAGAGCGCAGACTGGGCAAAGAAACAATTGTCTACTGAAACCTCTGGATGCAGCTGCCCTCAAAGTACTTTCATGAAGCTGGTTAAACCTCAAATGTATAATTTAAGAATTCCTTAGGCTGCAAATATATACTTCAAATACCTATCAATTGTAATCTTAAAATAAAAGAGTAATAGAATTTTCCTACAAACATTTGAAAGCCCCCATCTACACACATGCTATATAGAACATTAACAACTCAAGAATTTTCAGAGTGTTTATTAAAAATTGCCAATGTTACTCATCAAACCAAAACTTACAACTAAACAAATTAAAGGCAAGATAAGACTTGAAACTCCTCACTTCCAAACTCTGAGAATATCTTACTATTCCCGATGCTCTCGAGGTCAGCGGTTATGGTGGAGACCCCAGATTATTTACGGTGGTCACTAGTCTCTGGTGTGGTGCTGTAAGCTAAATACTGGACTGCTAACCACAAGGTCGGCGGTTCAAACCCACCAGCCGCTGCTCAGAAACCCTATACAGTGTCTCTGTGAGTCAAACCTGGTCACATGACACTTAACAACCACAACCACCACCACCACACTAGCCTCTCATCGCAACTCTTCGTTCAAACTCCTCTCCATGCTCAGTGAGCCACATTTGCCTTGGAGTCAGCCCTGGTGGGAGGGTTTACACCAGAGGAATTGGCAAAGTGCTAGCTGTTGAATGTTCATGAACACACCAGTAGGTGGGGCTCTGCATTACAGATGTATTTTTACAGCAGATTTTAAAGAACAACATAGACGTGTAATATTGGATTAAACATTCTTATATTTAAAGGCCAAGCACACCAACACAAGCAAGAAAGCAGGTGACAAGCAAGGCAGGCAGTTGCTAGGACAGACCTATGTGATGGACTCTTACCAAAGGCTTTGGCCACCGCAATGCTCTCCAACAGTCCCATCAGGGGCACCACGGCCAGGCCGGCCCCCATGTCCTGAGAGGAGAGAAAGGGACGATGAGCAGCTTTGTGAGGGCATGCCTTCCTAACTCCAGGTATGGGGAGGACAGGTTTGGCCAGGCAGTGACCCTCAAAGTGGGGGCCAGCTCTTGTCCACAGCTCTTAACTGAAAAAGATGGTCTTCAGCTGCAGACTGTGAAGTTACATGTGGAAGGAAATACGTCCTCCTTGCAACAGTGAAGGTTTCAGAACGCGACAAAGCCATGCTTTCCTAGTGTCCCACGTTAAGTGCTGTACTGCCCTGGGTTCTAGCTCCAGGCAGTCCCCGTATGGTGCAGCCTGCTCACTGGGAGATTCGAACCCATGCAGTAGCATCTGGTAAGATAGGCCTTGCAAGCCTACTTCCAAAAATTCAGCCACTGTAAACCCTGGGCAGCAGCCCAACCGACACGAAGGCAGTCACCATGAGTTGGCAAGAAAACATGTGATGTCCCCTCGAGGTTTCTATCCAAGCTGAGATTCTTTTGTCAGCTGTCCTGGCATCCATACACACCCCTTACTGTGGCCTCAGCCTACCTGGACCATCTCAGTGAATGAAATCGTCCCATTGGCAGTGGTCACTGAGAAAGGAGGGGTCCGGACGGGAGGGAGCCCCTCAGCTGTCTCCCCAGTCAGAACAAAGGGCTGGTAACCGGTCACTTCAAAAGAGTATGCAACCAGGGCCGCAAAGGAGACCACCAGGGCATTTCGCGCTAGAAGAGAGGGAAATTTATGTCAGTCAAAATCTGCACTGGCAAATGCGGTGAAGTTTCAAGCCAGATGTGTAGTAGCTGCATCTGGGTGACCGTGGGGTAAGAAAGCACAGAACACCCCCCACCAGCCACGGCCACACACACAGGACCCTTGCAAACACAACACAGATACAGTGCGCGTGTGCGGGCATGACCATGTGGTTTCACACACTGTGCGTTAGGTGCTGAAGCGGAGGTTCACCACGCACGGGATGTCTGGCACCCAACCAAAAATGACCAGGCATACAAAGAAGCTTGGTAACGTGCCACATGATGAGAATACAAAAATCCATCAAAACTGATGTGAAAATACTATAGAATGAATGTAAAACTAATGTTCTCCCATGTAAACTATAATTCACAATAAAACATTAAAAAAAAAAGAAAATGACTACAGATGGTAGACTTAGCAGACAAGGGTATTAAAGCAGAAATTTTAACTGTTTTCAGAATCTAGAGGAAAAAAAACAGTTCGATTGAACTTCCAGAGACGAGCGTATCGTGCCTGAGATGACAACACACTGGATGGGATAAACAACAGGTGAAGTCCTTTAGTGAGGTTCTGCTGAGGTCCACTCAGCCACCAAGCAACACACAAGTCTCCACTGACAGAAGCCTGGGAGGTGGGCAGGAATCGAACCTGGATCACACACACGGAAGGCAAGAGCTCAACCACAGAATTACCAATGTCCTCCTTACTGCTAAGTGTCATCGCGTCAACCCTGTGTAGGGTTTCTGAGGAGCAGCTGGTGAGTTTGAACTGATGGTCTGACGGTTCAAACCGACCTTGCAGTCCAGGGCTTATCCTACAGTACCAGTGAGCTTTAAGGAGCTCTGGTAGCGTAGTGGTTACGAATCGGGCTGCGAACCTTAAGGTCAGCGGTTCTAAACTACCAGCCGCTCCGCGGGAGAAAGATGAGGCTTTCTACTCCCGTAAGGATTTACACCCTCGGAAACCCTGTACAGGGTCGCTATGGGTCGGAACCGACTCCACAGCACATAAAAACAACAACAACAACAACAACCAGTGAGCTTTAAATTGCTCAGTACCCAAGATACAGCCCAGACCAGTTCCACCAGACTGCGGCAGAGGCAGGCTCCTTGGAGGCCAAGCTGCTACTGAAGAACCAGTCCTCCGCCGAATGCCCACTCACCTGTTGTGGCTGTCCAGACAAGCCCATGGCTGAGCCGCACACCGGGGGGCATCTCGGGGTGGACAGGGGGCACGTGGTCCCTCATCAGCTTTAGTACCAGGAGCAGCATCATGCAGACCAGCCCCAGCACGGCATCCCCAACCCTGCAGCGGACAGACACCTGTCACCACCCATGCGGCCATCGATGCCTGCCTGCTGACCCTTGCTTGGAAGGCTTTCTCCTTCAATGACTTTCTGTCATCTCCTCTCTCAAAACTTTATTGAAAACCCTGTAGACATACACGTGCCTGGGCGTCAAGACCCAGTCGCTACGGCGGTGGGGTTACTAGTTGACAGTCTCGGTCACATTGACCTCAACCACGCTGGCAGCACCAAGGGCCTTGGGCTATATCGCAAAGTCCTGTGACGGGTCAGTGTCCACTCCCCACTGCCCCAGCAGGCTGACATGAATGCCCAGTGGCATTTGTGTGTGTGTTTCCAGATGCATTCGTGGGGAACCCCACAAATTAGGAAGAGTGGGGAAAGAAAGCCACCAGGTCTCCTGACCCCCACCTCCCCGGCTCGCACGGTCCCCTCCAGACTGCCCCTCTACACCTCCTGCAAACAGCTTTGCTCTCCTTGCCCCTCTGACTGCGGGTCCTGGTTCTCAGTGAATCCCAGGCCTCAGCATCCCACTGCCCACTCTAAGGGACCCTATATTAGCGACTACAGAACACAACGCCACCCCTCCTGTCTCCGGTCTTTCACAGCTTAGAGCAACTTTGGAGTCCTGGTGTGGCGCTGTAGGATAAGCACTGGACTATTAATCCCAAGGTCGGCAGTTCAAACTCACCAGCTGCTCCTTGGAAACCCTATACAGGGCACTAAGAGTAGGATTCGACTCAACAGCACTTCATAGCAACAGTGTGGCAGCTTTATTCCTAACTCCCCCAAGTGAAGACAGTCAATATATCCACCCTATGGAATTTTACCTACTTCAGGTGTGGCATTTCTAACCAAGGACAGAGCAGAACTGGCCCGTAGGACTTCTAAGGCCGTAATGTTTACCGAGGCAAATGGTACATTTTCTCCTGAAAAGCAGCAGATGGGTTCAAACTGCTGACCTATCAGTCAGCAGCTGAGTGCTTAACCACTGCGCCACCAGAGCTCCTACTAAACCAAACTCATTGTCATCGAGCCAATTCAGACTCACAGTAACATGACCCTCTGGTGAGTTTCTGAGACTGTCAATCTTTACGGGAACAGACATCCTCATCTTCTTCCCAAGGAGTGGCTGGTAGATTTGAACTGCTGACCTTGAGGTTAACAGCCCAACACCTAACCCATAGCATCACCAGGTTCCTGAATAGAATGTTACAGCCAAAGCTCAAACCCACTGCTATCAAGCGCATGCCAACTCAGCAATCCTACAGGAGAGAGGAGAACCACCCCTAGAGTTTCGAGGATGCCGCAGATGTCTTGTCTTTCAATTCCATGGAGTGGTTAGTGGGTTCCAACAGCCAACATCTAACCCACTGTACCCCCAGAGCTCCTTGCTGGAGAACTGTTATTGCCAAGTCCTGTTGAGTCGGTTCTGATTCATAGGGACCGTGTGTAGGGCTTCTGAGGAGCAGCTGGTAGGTTTGAAACACCGACCTTGTAGTTAGCAGTCCAGTGCTTACACTATAGCGCCACACCAGGGCTCCACTGGAGTGTCACCCAGAAATAAAAAAACATAAGCTATCCAGACACAGAAAGATACGTAAGGAACTTCGGTGCACACTGCTGGGTGAAAAAAATGGACAGAAAAAGCCACCAACTATTCGACTCTAAGGAGCTCTAGTAGCGTAGTGGTTACGAATTGGGCTGCTAACCTCAGGGTCAGCAGTTCAAAACTACCAGCTGTTCCACAGGAGAAAGATGAGGCTTTCTGCTCCCGTAAAGATTTACAGCCTCAGAAACCGTGTACAGGGTCGCTATGAGTCGGAACTGACTCCAAGGCACATAACAACAAGCGACTTGAAGCACAGGACCTTTTGGAAAAGGTCACCATGGACCTGGGGGCTCCTAAGACTGGCAGACATGGAAGCATCTGTGCCGGACTTCTCTCTCTCTCTCTCTCTCTCGAGTCTGAACGTTGAGAGAGAGCCGCCGCGACAGCCCCCTACCCAGGGATGCTCTGGAAGGTGTCCTGCTGTCTGGCCCTCATGCCACCCATGCCACCTGGCTATCTGTTCATCAGGTCTAGGGCGGGTCTGACATTGCATTTCTCACACTGCTCCAAGGATAAATGCCACCTAAGGTAGAGGTACTCGGGAGACCTAGTGGTGCCGTGGGTTAAGTGCTGGGCTGCTAATGCTAAAGCCAACAGTTCAAACCCACCAGCTACTCTGTGGGTGAAAAGAGGCAGTCTGTTTCAGAAAGGTTTACAGACTCAGAAACCCTGAGGGGCAGCTCCACTCTGGTTTGCCTTGAGGGTCTGGGGGCTGAGAGGGGAAGAGTGTCGGCAGATCTGGAAACGTGGGCTTTAGTGGGGGGAAGCAGTAAGGTGGTCACACCTGGTCTCTCCGATGTTGAGGAAGGTGTGATACACCTGCAGGAAGAACTGTCTGGGGATGTCCTGAAGTCCCAGGAGGTTCTGCTCAATGAAACACAGGTGCAGATTAGACACCCCCCTCCACAGGGACCTTTCTGGACCTCCCAATCCCCAAAGGCCCAGGACAAGAGTCTGTCATACTGGGGAACAAGGGCACCTCACAACATCCGGAGTCAATGACCTGCTTTGTTTCATCATTGTTGGAAAAATTTGTCTGGGATACCCCAAGGACCCCCAGAGAGACCTGTCAGGAGCCCGGCAGCCATTGGCTCCAGGGCACGCCCATCACTAGGCAGCTTGGCCTCAAGATCCACTGCCATTGGCTCAGAGACACATCCATCACTTGAGGCCCACCCCACCCCACCCCTGCCACATAGGGCCCAGCACCACTGGTTCAAGACCTCGCCTGTCATTCAGTGGCCTGCCTACCCAAACTGCCTTACCCCCACCACCCATCCCCCCCCCCCAACCCCCCGCCCCACCGCACCCCAGGAAAAATCACGAGTCGTGGGTGAGCTCCAGGGAGCAACCGCTCCAGGAAATGGGGTACCTTGGGGGCTTCCTATTGCCCTCCCTGGCCCTCTGGGTCCCTAGGGTGGGAGGTCTTTACCTCTTAAGAGAAACCAGGTAGGTGCATCAGTGGGGAAAACGAAGCCCAGAATAGGGAAAGGAGGATAAAGGTCCAAGACCCCAGACCCTCCGCACCCACAACGCATTGACAGGTGGACAGAGGACTACAGTTTTAGAGATTCCTCAGTCATGGGCCTGTCGGGAGGATTCCCTCACTGTAGGGGTTCCCCTCCAAAAATGATTGGTGCTGACCTGGTCCTTTTCTACAACAAGCAGGGCAGCCTGGCCTGCGGTTTTATGTGCCATCAGAATCCCAGGCACTGAGGGTGGACTGTAGAAAAATGCACATTCTTGGCATTAAAAATGAAGGACGGGTATTATTTTCAGAATCAAGGCCAGGCCATCCCGCAGGGATGTATATAATCCGTCAACACACCTTTTAGATGGTTCCCTCGCCTACGAAACGTGGGCTTGAGAGAAATCAGCCCATGCAAGCAGTCTCCCCTCACTCAGCAGAGCAAAAGCAGAAAGACCTACAAATGCCTGCCCTCAAGTTCCTCCATCACAGATGGTCACAGAACACCCTGGGCTGGACACCACACCTGAGAGGCCCCTGGGTGACACAGGTCACAAGGCAGGGGTGTGGCTGAGTCCACCCACAAGGGCCCCTGAGGCTGCATTTGTAGAACTCAGCCCAGCTCCATCCTGGACACACAGGGAATTGAACCCATCTCATTATACCGAAGGAGTTCTGGTGACACTGTGGGTTCCATGTTGTGCTGCTAACCGCAAAGTTGGCAGTTCAAACCCACCAGCTGATGGATGGGGCTGTCTGTTCCCATAAAGACCTACAGTCTCAGAAACCCTAAAGACTGCTCTACGCTATCCTATAGGATCACTATGAGCCAGGATGGACTCTCGGCGGTACGTTTGTTTGCCTGTTGTTTTATTTTATAAGCACAGCACTAGTATACGTGGGCATTCGCCAAATCATCCCTACCAACCAGGAACTTGGAATTCATCATGAACAGTATGCTGTCCCCAGACAGTGGATCATTACTGATTTTAGCACTTAACAGATATCTGAAACAGACGTGCTAAATCATGGCTTTTGAGAAACAAAAGTTGGAAACATAGCAAAAACATAGCATGGAGGGACATTTTTACCCTGTGAAGACTTCCTGGTGGCGTGATTAGTCAAGGAAATAGGTTTCTACACTCTGGGAGGAGCCAGGCATGTGGCTAGTCATGTAATTATTACCTGTTATCCAAATTACCCACCTTAGCATCTTTGAATATCACTCAGCATTCTAATCCCTAAGAAGGGTCATTTGATTGTTGGAGGTGTGAAATGATTCATTGCTTTACTGTTTATTCTCACTGGAACTCATGGAAAAGGGACCAAATCTCAAACAGCAGGACCTTTCCTGGCCCTAGTACCAGGTCCCAATCTTAGTCCCCGGACTCAGCAGGTATTCCCATGGGCAGGGGGAGGGCCTACCTTGATCTGTCCAAAGCCGATGGTAACTGTGGCAGCAGAGGTGAAACCTTTGATGACCGGGCAGGAAATGAAATCCAGCAGGAATCCTGGCCAGCCAGGAGGAAATACTGAGATGGTCCCCAGCTCCTCCCAGACCAGACTCCAGGCTGGGCAGCAATGCGGGACAGAGGTTGTGGCTAAGAATGGGCAAGGGACTTGTCCTGCTTGGAATGCTTCAGGATTGTGGAGGAGGGAGGCACGGGTCTGAAGCCCTGGGGTCTGTGGGGTACAGGTCACGGCCTGCTCTGGGGCAGGGCTGGGGGGCTGAGGGCATCACCTGCTCACTGCCAGGACGCAGGATGTACAAAGGAGGAGTGCTAAGGTCAAGGGCTCCTCCAGAGGCAGGCGCCTTAAGGGGAAGAGCAGACTGAAGTTTCCCCCACTCTTACCCAGACGCAGAAACCCCAAGGCCAGCTGGATGCAGCCCGAGAGGAAGGCCAGCAGCACAGCGTAAGCAGGCTCGTGGAAAGTGTAGAAGGAGACCAGGAGGGACATGATGGCCGTGGGGCCCAGAGTCACATCGCGGGAGGTGCCCAGGAAGAAATACACGAAGCACCCCATGAAGGCAGAGTAGAGGCCATACTGTGAGGGGAGACAGCAGTATCCCATGATGGGCACCAGTATGTGACCCATCTACCCTCTGTCAACCATGTAGGGCCACCTGGACTGACAAGGGACCTTCTCTCTACTCCTACCCAACTGGGTCTCGGGGTGCCTGTGACCACAGTATGGGTGGGGTGAGTGCTGAGAACTGAGTCTGGGTGTTTTGTGTCCGGGTCTGCTGAATGGTGCGCCTATTTGTAAAGACTGGAAACCTCACGAGGGGTTGGAAGCCCAGGGTAGACCTGTCTTGACTAGACTTGGGAGTTGGGAGCAGGGCCAGGCTGTTGAGAACCTCACCTGGGGAGGTAGTCCAGCCACCTCAGCGTAAGCCAGCGCCTGGGGGATAACTGTGAGTCCCACGGAGAGCCCCGCGATGAAATCCATCTTCAGCCACTCCCCAGAGTAGTCAGGGAGCCAGGACAGGATGGGCAGCCATCTCTGCAGGGCTGCCACCGAGCAGCAACGCACCTGTCCTGCCATCCCTGAACCCAGAGATCGGGGCCTGCCCAGAGCCTGCACAGATGGGGCCATACCTATGGCAGAGAACAGGCCAGGGTCAGGGGCCTCAGGAGGGGACCTGTGGGTCTCACCTTCCCCCAGGACTCAGAGCCAGAGATGGTCATGGAGTGGGGGCACGCTGGTCTGAAGACCACAGAAGAAGGATGATGTTAAGTGCTGTCAAGTCGGTTTCAACTCATAGTGATCCTGATAGGGTTTCTGAGGAGCAGCTGCGGGGTTTGAACTGCCAACCTGTGGTTCAAAGTCCAGTGCTGATCCACAGCAGGAAGCCTAGTCGATGGGGGTGTGACTGGCCAACCCCTCATTACACATCCCCCCACCCAAACCCTAAGGGACTTTCTTCAGTCCTCCCAAAATCCAGTAAACGATTTCCTAATAAGCCTACAGACTAATCAGACATTTCTTCTCCCAAGAGACTTTGTTTCCGGTTTTGTTTTGTTTTTCCCTCCTTAGGGGATCTTCTTTAGAAAAATTTTATTGTGGTGAAAATATACGCAGCAAAAGGTTCTCCAGGGCACCAGTTTCTCCCTGTCCAGTTAACTCTGGCAACCACTGCGTTCTTCAGTTCACTCCAAACCCATCCGCAGATGTAATGGGACACGGCGGGGGCGGGGCGCAAAGGCAAGAGGTCTGGAGGCTCCGAGGCTTTGCAAATACGCACCAAGCGGCTCCACCCACTACGGCGGACTGCGGCGCTGGGGGGGGGGGGGGTCTCAGCAGGAGGCCTCGCTTACCCGCCCCCACCTGTAGCATTCCCGTCCCCAGCGGGGTCCCAGAGATTCTAGAAGGTTCTGAGAGAACGTCAGAGGCTCTTCGTTAATTCACGCCCAGCATCCTCATCTTCAGTGGCCTGGAGGCCCCCTCCCCACCACGCATAAAAGCGGCTCCAGCCCCTACCCCAACGTCTCCCTTGGCTCTGGACAGATGCACCCCCACCATGCAGCTGCCAGCTGTGGGGACCCCGAGTCATCAGAGGTCCCGGGTCCTCTGCAAGACCCAAGGTGGTGAGTATGCGGTAGGGGGACGGTGCGACCTGGGTTCCCGCTTCGGCAGCCCCCTGGACCCTTAGGTTTCCCGAGCTCCTCGCCTGGGCTGCTTTCCGCCCGGAGGCCGCACACTCACCGGACGCCGAAGCCCGGGGTCTCCAGACGTCTCCGCAGCAGCGTCCGCAGGATCCGCAGGGGGAAGGGACGAGGCGGGGCCAGGCGGGGGCGGGACCTGAGTGGGGCGTGGTCATGCGCTCACGTGACCGGGCGGGCGGGCGGACCCTTAGCCACAACCATGCACAGGCTGGGGCCCACCGGTTGCTTGCTGCTGTTCGGCTTGGGACTGTGCTCTGTGCCCGGGGCGCGCGCCCGGAACGTGCTGTTGATCCTCGGTGAGTACCATCTGTGCCCACCTGCCGTGGCCCCGCACTGCTCTCGCGTGGCTACCTGCCTTGCCCCACAAGTGGCCATTCGCCTGGTCCCCACCCATGGTCCTTGCCTACCCTAGGTGCCCTACGGTCCCCAAAGCCTTTCAGTCCTCCGACTCCGTGCCCTGCTACCCCAGACCTGCTCCTCCTAGAGAAGAGGGACTGGAGGGGACACCCTCACCCCACGCCTGCTCTGACCCATAGCTCCCACCTCTATCCATCCAGAACGGCCTGGGTGACACTGTGGGCCCCCGCGCAGGAGACTCCCGGTGACCACGCACCCCCGAGGGGACAGCTGGGATACCACAGCTCCCACCTTCCCTCAGTGATGATAACCCCTATGTTTACCTTCTCCTTCAGGCCCCAGAGCAGGGTCACAGCCCTGCCCCCCACTCACCTCCCCCAGCTTCCCCAGAACCCCAAGTTACTCAGTACCCGCTGGTCACATGACTTCCGGTTCTGGTGACTGGCTAGCCTAAAGCTCTCGGATTCTTTCCTGTTCTGAGGTCTGGCACCCAGCCAGGCCCACGCTTTCTGATTAGTAAGCTTAACTGTGGTCTTCAGCAGAATAGTCTTTCTGCTAATGGAAACACAAACAGCTCCGGGCCAGGAAGGGATTCTGCCCTCTGCCCACTGCCCCCGTCAGGAGGAGTTTACACAGGATACATCCCTGCAGGGCCTGGAATCAGAACGGGTTCTGAATCCTCCCAGAGCCAGGGCATTGTGTGCTGGTCAGACTTCCCCCTGGGTCCACTTCAGAGCAGGGCTGGGGCAAGGGCAGCCCCTGAGGTTCCCACTGGCTTCTCCCAGGGTAGAGGTAAGAAGCCTCGTGTGTTTGTAGGAGGCCAGGGTCCAGTCTTGACTCCCCAGTGCCCAGCTGGGTGGACCTCAGGTGCTTCCTACAGGGCAAGGGGGTGGGGCTAGACAAGCTTCAGGGTCTCTCTAGCCTCTAGGTGGGACAGGTGTACCAGTGAAAGACAGTGGACAAGACATAGACATGACCACCCAGGCAGGCCCTCACTGGGGCTCTCCTGGCCCAGGGACCTTACTCAATAGTGGGTTTCGTCTGCGCCTTCAGCTGTTATCTAACATGCCTGCCATGTATCATGCCCCTCCTGGTTCCTTTTCTACCAAGCAGGTGCATACTCCTGGGTTCTGTGCCCACCCAAGACTCATGCCTGCTAAGAGGAATGCCCACCTGGGTATCAAACCAAGCCAGGTATCATGCCCCAGGTACCAAACCAGCCCATTCATCACTGAGCAGAGCCCTAGGTCTCCCTCACTCGCACACACTATTCTTCCCAGCCCCCCTCACCATGTTCTTCCTCTGTCCCTCCCCTTCTCAGCGGATGACGGGGGCTTTGAGAGTGGTGTTTACAACAACAGTGCCATTGCTACCCCGCACCTGGACGCCTTGGCCCGCCGCAGCCTGATCTTCCGAAATGCATTTACCTCCGTCAGCAGTTGCTCTCCCAGCCGGGCCAGCCTCCTCACCGGCCTACCCCAGGTGGGCACAGGTGGGAGGATGGGGAGGTGAGGGGAGAGAACCTGAGGCCAGGAGAGGGGGAAGCAGGACTAGAGTCCAGGCTTCTGAGTGGGAGGGACATCCCTCTCTAGTCTCCCCCACTGAGGCCTACACTGAGTATCTCCTGGGTCCAGTGTGGTCAGAGTGTGTGACCCTGCACCTCAGTTTCTTCATCTGTAAAAGGATGGCATCCCCTTTGGAAGAACGTTACGGGTATTAGATGATGCCTTAGTTGTCTGTTGTTAAGTGCCGTGAAGCCAGTTCTGACTCATAGTGACCCTGTATAGGGTTTCTGAGGAGTAACTGGTGGGTTTGAACTGCTGACCTTGTGGTTGGCGCGCCAGTACTTATCCTACAGCACCACATCAGAACCCCTTTAGTTAATTCCTTAGTGCAGCTATAGCAGAAAGACCACAAGGGAGCTACTTAAAAACCAGAAATGTATCCTCTCACAGTTAGGAGACTAGAAACCCGAATTGAGAGCACCAGCGCTGGGGAAAAGTCCAGGTCTACTGTCAGCATCTGTGGGCCCAGCGTTCCCTGGAGATCTCCGTGTGTCTCGGCATCAGTCTTCCCCTGGATCTAGGAGCTTCCCAGGGCAGGGACCCAGGTCTCCTGTCAGCATCTGTAGGCCCAGCGTTCCCTGGAGATCTCCGTGTGTCTCGGCATCAGTCTTCCCCTGGATCTAGGAGCTTCCCAGGGCAGGGACCCAGGTCTCCTGTCAGCATCTGTAGGCCCAGCGTTCCCTGGAGATCTCCGTGTGTCTCGGCATCAGTCTTCCCCTGGATCTAGGAGCTTCCCAGGGCAGGGACCCCAGGTCCACAGGACATAATCCACTCCTGGTTCTTCTGTTTTGGTGGTCGTAGATCCGTCTGAGCTTGGCTTACTTCTCCTTTTGTATCTCAAAAGAGATTAACTCAAGATACAACGTAGTTCTATGGATTGCATGGGACCTCATTAACACCACAGAAGTGATGGCATGGGGTGGCTACCTCAGGTCAGGGCTTACCACATCAAATCACACCAGACTGTGTGAGATTAGGCCTTACCATGAAGGTCATCAAACCTTCCCTGTCACAGGTGAGATCAGACGTGACACTTGTAGGCCTGCCATGTACTGCTAACGGTTCATTCACATTCACACAGGGCCTGGGTTTTTAACACCCACACTATTTCATTTATAACATAAAGACATGTGATGACAGGGTGCCTATTGCCGTCCTCCTGACTTTACAGTAGAGTGTTCGAAAGAAGTCAGACACCCCTAGTTGAAGCAGACACCTCTCAGCCCCCCTAGTTGAAGCAGACACCCCTCAGCCTCCTTAGTTGTAGCAGGAAACCTCTTGATCCCCCCTAGTTGTAGCAGGAAACCCCTTGATCCCCCCTAGTTGTAGCAGGAAACCCCTTGATCCCCTCTAGTTGTAGCAGACACCTCTCAGCCCCCCTAGTTGTAGTGGTCACCCCTTGGCCTCCTCTCCTTTCTGCTGGCATCTCACTTCCCCAAGAGGGACCCAGGGGTTAGGCAAAGAGTCTGGAGGCCTATAAAAGCTCAGTGGGGTTGGTCACCTAGTCAGGGACCCAGAGAGGGCCCTCTGCTGCTGACCGTGGGGTGGGCAGGGCCGGCCTCACTGAGCACACCTCTGCCGCAGCACCAGAACGGCATGTATGGGCTGCACCAGGACACCCACCACTTCAACTCCTTTGACAAGGTGCGGAGCCTGCCACTGCTCCTCAGCCAGGCCGGTGTTCGCACAGGTGAGAGACCAGATGTGCTGATGTCACCTGCCTTGAGCACCTGGCTGGGCTGTGGATCCATAAGACTCAGGCACCTGGATGCGCTTGGGTGGCGAGGGGAGGGGAGGAGGTGGGAGGGGTGTCCTGGCAGCTCCGTGCCCACCCTGCGCAGGGATCATTGGGAAGAAGCATGTGGGACCCGAGGTGGTGTACCCATTCGACTTCGCCTACACGGAGGAGAATGGCTCCGTCCTCCAGGTGGGACGCAACATCACCAGGATAAAGCTACTGGTCCAGAAATTTCTGCAGTCCCAGGACGCCAGGTGGGACAGGCCCCGCCCCTGCCCCTCACTCAACCACTCACACCCATTGCCAGACCCTCAACTCCCAGTCCAGAGCCTTAGGTGGAATCTAGGAGTCTCCAGTCTGCTGGAGTAGAAGGTTCCAGGTGCTTGAACTAATGAGGCCAGAGGAAGAGGGGACCTGGGGCTGTGAGGGTCCCATAGCCTTAGGATATTGGGGCATAGGCAGAGCTGAGAGACAGGGCCGGGCTGAGAGGTAGGCTCCTTCCTAAAGGACTAGGGTCCCTGGAGTAGAGAGTGACAATGCCCACTAGCCCCTTCCTCCACCTGCAGACCCTTCTTCCTCTACGTTGCCTTCCATGATCCCCACCGCTGTGGGCATTCGCAGCCCCAGTACGGAAGTTTCTGCGAGAAGTTCGGCAATGGAGAAAGCGGCATGGGGCGCATCCCAGACTGGACCCCCCAGACCTACAATCCCCAGGACGTGCAGGTAGGGGAGGGGCTCAGGCCTTGTTCCCAAGGCTCCCTCTGCTTTTCTAAACCCCTGGGGCGGGGGATCCTAGTCCTCACTGTGCTCATAACCCCGCCCAGCCTGGTGACATCAAAGGGAAGAGCCCTCTTCCTTGTGCAGTTCTGGGTGCCCCTGTCCACACACTCACACATAGAGACACACGCACACACTCACATACATACACACACGCGTGCACACACACACACACACACACTCTGCACTCATGTCCCCGCCCAGCCTGGAGTGTCACCATTGGAAAGAGGCCTCCGGCTGAATTGGAGCCAGGTCCCACTGTAGGGCCAGCAGACAGAGTGGGACGGTTCAGTGACATGGGTTACTCCGGTCCCATGAAGGCAGTGGTTTCCGGTCAGGGAAGAAAGCAGGTCCCTCACCTCACCCACACTCCGCCCTCCCCAGGTGCCTTACTTCATCCCTGACACTCCAGCTGCACGAGCTGACCTGGCTGCTCAGTACACCACCATTGGCCGTATGGACCAAGGTGGGTGCTGGAAAGCCGGGCAATGGGAGTGGACATTTCTTTTGGGGGTGGGCCACTATTCACCTTCCTGTGGGGATTGTATCTTTATCATATTCATGTGGGCGACATTAATTCCCAGGGACCTGTGGATGGGGTGGGCTTGGAGAGAACCCCACTATCCTCCCAGCAGTCTAAGTCCCTTGCCAGCATGCAGCCCACTTCCCCACCCCCAGCAGGCCTTCCCCTAACTCCTCCCATCCAGGGGCTGTCTTCCAGCTGGAGTCGGACCCTCTTAGTTCTGTGGAACACACACAGATCCCAGAAAACACAGAAACCTGTGTAGGGCAGCCACAGCTGTGTGTGGGGTGACCGGACCCCCTGGAGGGGAGGAGTCAGTGGACCGTGTGCTGGTGAGGGACTGGGACTGCTGGGAGGATGGTGAGGACAGGGAAAAGGGGGCGTGAGTGAGCAGGATTCCTCATGCATATGGGGCATCCGGCACTTCTGCCACGTGTGCACTGAGCCCTGCTCTCCCCCACCCCCCACAGGGATTGGTCTTGTGCTCCAGGAGCTGCAGGGAGCCGGGGTCCTGAATGACACCCTGGTGATCTTCACATCTGACAACGGAATCCCCTTCCCCAGCGGTAGGACCAACCTGTATTGGCCGGGCACGGCAGAGCCTTTTCTGCTGTCATCTCCCGAGCACCGCCGTCGCTGGGGCCAGGTCAGCCAGGCCTACGTGAGCCTCCTAGGTAAGGCCTGTCTGTCTGAGCTGGGGGGTGGGGGGCGACCATGCTGCTCCTAGGGCCAGTCAGGTGTTGAAAAGGAGACTCAGGAAGGTGTAGCCTGTCGTCCAGGGCCACACAGCTTGTACGCTGGGATGTGGTCTGAGCCTCGCTGCCGTCCAGGCCTTGGCTATATACCACACACTCAGCGGTGCTCACCGAATCACCAGGACCAAAACCTAAATCAAACTCACTGCCGTCAGTCGATTCTGACTCACGGTGACCCTTGAGGACAGGGCAGAGCTGCTCCAGGAGCCTTCTGAGGCTCGGTCTTCAGGGAAGCAGAACACCTCAGCTTGCTCCCGCAGAGCAACTGCTGGGTTTGAACCACCAAACTTTTCTGGTTAGCAGTGCCTAACACGCAGCACTAATTACAGCCCCCCACCCCCACCCCCAAGGAGCTCTGGTAGCGTAGTGGTTACGAATCAGGCTGCGAACTACAAGGTCAGCAGTTTGAAACTACCAGCTGCTCCGCAGGAGAAAGATGAGGCTTTCTGCTCCCGTAAAGATTTATAGCCTTGGAAACCTTGTACAGGGTCGCTATGAGTCGGAACCGACTCCATGGCACATAACAACAACAACAACAACCCCCACCCCCAGGCACTGACTCAGCTGTCCTGGGTCCAAGAACCTGTATTTCTTATAAGTCCCCAAGTGAGGCTGCTACTATTGGTCTAAAAACCCCTGTACCCCGTTATGCTGACTTCTCAGTAACCCTACATCTTGAAGAAGGCCTGGGGTCTCTCTTCCTCTATGACAGATGAGCAGACAAAACTCAGGGCATGAAAGGACTTCATGAGGGGCTCAGGGTGAAGCCATGAGTGGGGGGCACACGTATCCCCTGTGGTGGAGGTCTCTCCCTTGGACCCTAAAGCTGGGAACCCGTGTGGACACACCACAGAACAAGACTGGGTGGTCCCTCCCTACAGGGGGGACTTCCTCACTGGGCCACAGAAGGTCCTCGTGGTATGTGATGAGAGGCACCGTGGTGTCCGAGTCTTCTGGACTGTGGTAGCAATACGGCAGACTGGGTAGCTGGTGGGAACTGATTTGTATTGGCCACAGTTCAGTGTTGATTCTTCCTGCTCTGGCTCCTAGCTCTGTCGGCTCTAGACCTTCCTCGGCTTCCACCGTCCCCCATCTCCTCTTCTCTAACAACACCAATCACATCGGATTTAGGGCTCATTGTGACATGAGCTCACATTAACCTAACAATGTCCAGGGCCCTACTTCCCCACACAAGGCCACATCACAGCTACTAATAGTTAGGACTTCAACAGATCTTCCCAGAGGACACAGCGTCCAGAGAAGTGATGTGATGAGGTGTTGGGTCCACAGCAGAAACTCCCTTTGGGAGGCCTCCCAGCTCTGTGGAGGGGCTTAGATCAGCTCTCCCAGAAGTGAGCCAGGGCCCTACCACACTGAGAGCCTGTTTCTTTTTCAGATCTAACCCCCACCATCTTGGATTGGTTCTCCATTCCCTACCCCAGCTATGCCATTTTCGGCTCAAAGACCGTGCAGCTCACTGGTCGGTCCCTCCTGCCAGCACTGGAGTCTGAGCCCCCCTGGACCACTGTCTTCGGCAGCCAGAGCCTCCACGAGGTCACCATGTACTACCCCATGCGTTCCGTGCACCACGACAACTTCCACCTGGTACACAATCTCAACTTTAAGATGCCCTTCCCTATTGACCAGGATTTCTACGTCTCCCCAACATTCCAGGATCTCCTGAACCGCACCAGGGCAGGCCAGCCCACAGGCTGGTACAAAGACCTCTATCACTATTACTACCGGGACCGCTGGGAACTCTACGACCGGAGCCAGGACCCTCACGAGACCCACAATCTGGCCACTGACCCGCACTATGCCCAGCTTCTAGAAATGCTCAAGACTCAGCTGACCAAGTGGCAATGGGAAACCCAGGACCCTTGGGTGTGTGCGCCTGATGGGGTCCTGGAGGAGAAACTCTCTCCCCAGTGCCGGTCACTCCATAACGAGCTATGAGTGTCTCGGCAACACGAGTCCTCTCCCCCCAATGTGGTCCCCATGACCAGACGGGCCATCTCAGCAGGTGATGGAGAAGAGGCTGCAGCTCTGGCCACTCCTCTTCCTTCCTGCCTCGGCCTTAGAGAGCAGAGCAGAATGTGCCCCCTTCCATGGTACTACCACCGTAAGGGGCACCATTGTCCTTGAGTCCACACTGTGTCCCAGCACAGGGATTCTAGAGCGAACCTGGGGTAGGACAAAGGGGTCTTGTCTTCTGGGCTGGTTTGGAACCCACAGGTATTTCTGAGCCTTCACCATGAAGAGAGGTGGGCTGGCCCTAACCGTGCTCCATGTGGGAACATGGTCTGTTGATTTTAATCAGCTTCTGGTTTTGAGGACCCTCTAAAAGATACTTTAGTATTTCTACTTCCTTTGTTCTGCCCCATGTCAAGTTCTTGGGTCTATGCTAACTCAGTAGTTCACTGAAAGTCCTCCAAGTGTCCACTCTTAATTTTATGGACAAAGCAAACTCTTCTGCAGTGTTCAAGTTTAGAAACACCACCTCTAGAAGTATTAGATTGTCCCCAAATTTCTTCTAGAATGTTCCATCCTTACTGTACCACTTATGTACCCACCATGGCAGCCAACTGTACTGTAAAACTCAGGAAGTGGAACTCTCTCCCTAGAGAAGGTGGACTCCCATCACCCTCCCCTCCCCACCAGCTCCATACTGGGGGTAGGTGGGGAGAAGGCAGCAGATACCAGTATTGTAAAAGCTATTTTAGCAAATACATAGAATTTCATTTTCTGAACTTGGTTACAAAGATACCAACCGTAACTGTAATGCACCTTCCTTCATGACGCTGCTGTCAAAATAGCATTTGCTCCAGGAAGGTCCTAAGAGGGGGTCCCAGGGGATCCTGGGGTTGGAAGAAGCACGCTTTGCCCTAGGAGGGTTGAGGTGCAGCTAGGAGGACAGGTGGTCTTGGCCATAAGAAGACCCAGTTGGCACTCTGAGCCAGGTGTTTCCAGGATGCGATGCCCAGACCCACTTCAAATCCATTTCCTTCACACGGGACTTTATAGAGAGCAGTGTGTATACTAGACTTACAGAGGTATTTCCCACCAAGCCAACTAAGGTGACAGAGGGGCTTGTCCTGTTCTGCGCAGGGCCCAGGGGTCTTGTGGGCACAGCTGCCAGCCCTCAGTCTCTGCGGGTTCCAACAAGCCCTTTGACGTGTTGAGATGTGGACTGAGGTGCAGCATCCATGGAGTCAGAGCGAGCCAGCAGGCTGCAGAAAGGCAGGGCTTGCTCTGGGCTGATGTCATTACCCAGAAAGGTCCACTGGTCCCCAGTTCTGGTCATGCCAAGCCCTGCTGAGGGTGGACTGGGAGCAGAGTTCAAGGTGGAGAGCCGGGCTGCTCGCTCCCTGGATCCTGAGCCCACAGTGGGTCTATAGTCATAGGGTGGAGAGCCGGGCTGCTGCTCCCTGGATCCTGAGCCCATAGTGGGTCTATAGTCATAGGGTGGAGAGCCGGGCTGCTCGCTCCCTGGATCCTGAGCCCACAGTGGGTCTATAGTCATAGGGTGGAGAGCCGGGCTGCTCTCTGCCCAAACCCCAAGTCCACAGCGTCAGCAGGAGCTCTGTTCTGTCCACACAATCTTCTTCTGTTCGTCGGCGATGGCTGCTCGGGCACAGCTAAGCAGGGACTCGAGGTCGCTCCATCCATCAGGGGCCAGGCTGTTGTACAGACAGGGTGCCTTGTCCAGGTCCCCTTCTTCCAGCCTGGCTGTCTCCAGCAGCTGCTCCTCCGACGTGCCGAGCCGCTGCAGGGATTTCCTGGTGGGAGCAAGCAGGGCAGACTGAGATGCACGGGGCCCTGGGAGGTGGGCCCTGGGTTGGCCCCAGCCAGAGGTGCACACACCTGGGCCATGGGCAGCCCCTCCTTGAGAGGTCATGGGACATGACCTTAGCTAACCTGACATGTCAGCTGGACCCCAAATGACAGTCCCCAATGGGAGTGGGGTCTGGTTTACAACCTTCAACATAAAGAGCCACACAGGAAGGGAGACATCAGCCCATCTTGGCTTGCCACAGATGTAAGCCAAATGGGTGCCCACCTTGCTTTGGTCTGCTATCACAAGTTAGAGCCTACTAACCATATGTACCACCTAGAAGTTTCCTTGGTCGAGTTAGGGTGGTCTGGATTCTCCCCACCCCCAGCTATGCCCAGGCTCCTCCCTAGTGGTGGGGGGGACATTGTCCAGTGAGTTGTGAGGTGACCACCTGGGGACACCTGCAGGAGCCAGAACAGAGGCGTTCCTGGGAACAGAATGTGCTCCAAGGCCCATGGGAGAGGCATCCCGGGGCTCTGGGACCCCCAGCGCAGGGGCATGGGGAGACCTACTTGATCCTCTTGGCAGTCTTCTCGTTGATGGAGACATGGAGGATGATGGGAAAGATTTCAAGTCTGTGCAGGGCACAGATGGTGGTCAGTCCCAAGTCCAAGAGCCCGTGGGTGTCCTGTGTGTGGATGAGGGGAGTGGCGTGAGTGAGCCATGGCCTCAGGCATGGAAGGTGCCCCACTCCCCAGGCTGAACACAGGAACCCACAAATGGAAGGGGTTCTTTAGCCACTTTGTACATGTAACATCTTAAAAGTTTCCATTCTTTGATTTTTCACTTGGAAATCCCAGAAATTGTTAAATTGTGGGGTGGGACTGAGGTGAGTGTGGCCAAGCTGCTGAATTATGCACTGGGATGTTCCATTACCCTCTGTGGCTGTGTGTGTGTTTGTAGGGGCGTGGGGGTGGGTGTCCCATCTGGCTCCCAGCCCCGCTGGGCCCACCCCCACCTCCCCACAGACTATGTCTGCATGAATGTGATCTTTTACGGAGATTCTCTCATATCAGGGGAATTCAGAATGTTTGTGGAAAAAGTAAGAGAGAATGGAGGTCTTTCCATGAACTTTTGAAGCCCCCTCTCATATATTTGTTTAAGCCTTTAAACGAACTTACTGGATAGGTGAAAAAAAACAACCCCACATTCTAAAACCATTGTTGCCAAGTCCGATCCTACTGGCGGCAATCCCGGAGGACAGTAGAACTGCTCCAGGGGATTAGCTTGGCTGTAACCTTTATAGCAGCAGATCACCAGGCCTTTCTTACGCAGTGCTGCTGGGCGGGCTGGGACCATCGGCCTTCAGGTCAGCAGTTGAGGGCAACCTGCGTGTGCCCCCAGGGACTGGAGCGCAAGGTCACCCTGTTGTCTGCTTATTAAGTATTGATCAAACATCTCCAGAGTAGAGGACATGGCGTCTCTGGGCTGTTGAAACACTTGCCCGAGTTCACATGTGTCTCACACATCAGAAGCAGGTTGTGGCCTTTCCATGGACTTCCAGCAAACCAGAGATAGAGGGACTGTGGAGAAGTGAGGCTGAGTACCAAGTGGGACAGCTAGGAGAGTGAATGTCCGCCTATCTCCTGGTCAACCAACTGTAGCCCACTGCACGCTGTCCAGTCTGCCCAGACTTTGGAGAAAGTCCTGCACTCCCCTCCTCTAGAGAAAACCCCACTGAAGCAGACCTACAGCAATCCTGTGGAATGGAGTAGAACTGCCCCATAGGATTTCCAAGTCTGTCGATCTTTCTCCCATGCAGTGACCAGTGTGCTTGAACCACCGACCATGTGGTTAGCAGCGCCACCAGACCACCTTTCCTCTGGGCAAAAAGCTCCCCAAATACAACCTTCACCCGGGGTGCCCGGCCCACCTTTTGCATGAGAGACTCCACAGCTTGGCGGGTCACCCAGCAGCGACCACTGGACCCTTCTGGGCCCTGGATGATGTCTCCTATCAGGTTCCGGCCATTGTATTCCTCCTGGCTCAGATACTCTGCAGGTGACAGAGCAAAACAGACCTTGGGTGAGTCTTGGGACCTCAGTACATCCCACTCTTCCCTCCTGTCCTCTCTGAGGGGCTGCCATGCCTTCTGGGACCACATCTGGACCTTCCACCCCATCTTACACCAGCTTATCCTGAGTGTCTGCCTCCCCTAGCCGAATGACCTTCGAAAGCCTCTTCAACTCTATCTCTAGGAGCCGCTTGCCTGAAACACAGTAGGTGCTTACTAAAGGAACAGCATGGCGTCTGCTTGTTTTCATCTCCCTGCTAGGATGTGAATTCTAAGGAGGTGGGGTAGAGTGGGACCCTGTTCATAGAGACTGCTCATGAGTGGATAGATGAGGCATGAACCACGTCTCCTCATCTAGCTGGGGAGCCACCTTCCACGCCGAGCATTGCAGACACCCCGAGTTTGTGTCTCAGAGCAGGACCCCACTGACCAGCTTCTCTCCGTAAATACCTCTAGAGCAGCTTTGTCAGACGGGTGGAGACTTCGGGTTTACTCCCAGTAAGAACTCCCTACTCAGCCCCAGTAACCACCTCACCAAACCAAACCCACAGCTGTTGAGTGGATTCAGACTTACAACAACCGTATAGGCCAGAGTGGAACTGCCCCACGGGGTTTCTGGGGCTGCCCACCTTTATGGAAGCCGAGTGCCACATCTTTCTCCCAAAGAGCGGAGGGTGAGATTGAACTGTCAACCTTTCTGGGAGCGGCACCAATAAGACTCCTGGTTTGAGTTGTTGTTAAGTGCCGTCAAGTCGATTCCGACCCATAAAGATCCTGTATAGCGTTTCCAAGGAGCAGCTGGTGAGCTTGAACCACCAGCCTTGTGGGTCAAACAATTTTACAGTCTGACTGATGCATTAGCCCACAGTGCTACACCAGGGTGCCTGATTTGAGTTGTTGTTGTTGTTGTTATGTGCCGTGGAGTCGGTTCCGACTCACAGCGACCCTGTACAGGGTTTCCGAGGCTGTAAATCGTTACGGGAGCAGAAAGCCTCATCTTTTTCCTGCGGAACAGCTGGTAGTTTCGAACTGCTGACCTTGTGGTTCACAGCCTGATTCGTAACCACTACGCTACCAGAGTAGTGTCCCACAACATAAAGCCCCTTTCCAATAAGGTCACAATCTGAGGCTCTGGGTGGACAGGGATTTTGGTTTGAATGTTGTTAAGTGCCGTCAGGTTGGTTCCGACCCATAGCGACCCTGTATAGTGTTTCCGAGGAGCAGCTGGTGAGCTTGAACCACTGACCTTACAGTTCAAACCGCTTTGCAGTCTGGCGCATTAACCCACAGCGCCACACCAGGTTTGAATAGTGTCCCTAAAAATCCCTGTCCACCCAGAGCCTCAGATTGTGACCTTATTGGAAAGGAGCTTTGCAGACAGAATTTGTTGAGATGAGACCCTGGACTATGGTGGACTCTGAATCCAAAGGTGGGTGTCCTCGTGAGAGAAAGGAGAGTGGGTCTGAGACACAGACACACCGGAACAAGGTCCGTGAAGATGGAGAGAGAGACTGAGTGAAGTGTCTGCGAGCCAAGGACAGCTGGCCATCACCAGAAGCTGGAAGAGCGAGTGTAGGATTCTCTACTGGGGCGGGTGAGATAGCTCTGGAGAACATTGCCTCCAGCAATCAATTCCATCTTGCCAAATGACCCCTCAAAGCTGGCTGAGGAAGATGTGATGGGGAATAGAAACTGCTCAGTGGCTCCCCCCACCCCTGTTTGAGTGGTCCCCAGGCACGTGCCACACCTGCCTTAGCCCCTCTTCAGCCTTTGGAGAACTGTGACAATGAGTGCAAACAAGTCATACTCTCTGGGGCCTTGGTGTGGCACGGCCATAGCCTGGAAGCCTCCCATTGCTCTGAGGTGCGTAGACCCTGTCCTGCAGAGGCCCGGCCCTACCCTGCTCAGGTGGGTCATAGCAGAGAACGTACCTGGCAGGCATTTCTCAAAGCCTCGGTAGAGGCACAGCTTCTCCATCAGAATCTTCCCAACCACCCTGGGCACGAAGAGCACTGGCCGGGGCTGAGTAGGTCTGTGGGGGTGCACCAGGGTGTAGGGCACCAGGGTGAAGCAGCTCTCAGCCCAGAAGCACACAGACGAGTCTGGGGACACATGGACTGTCATCAGGCTGTGGTAGCTGCTCTGATCATCATCGGGTACCCCACCCATCAGCCCAAGGTTGTCAGCCCTCCCTCTCCCATCAGCCCCCCCACTGCCTGCCCTTCCCCACCCATCAGCCCCCCCAGTCAGCTCTCCCCCATCCATCATCCCCCACTATTATCAG